TCACACACTGTATTATGGTTGCTCTCTCTCTCTCACACACACACTGTATTGTGTTTGCTCTCTCTCTCACACACACTGGATTGTGGTTGTTCTCTCTCACACACTGTATTGTGTTTGCTCTCTCTCTCTCTCACACACACACACTGTGTATTGTGTGTGTCGGCCTTCCCAACTCCTCCCTCCACAGACTGCAGATAATCCAGAACTCTGCAGCCCGTGTCCCCTCCCGCACCAAACTCCGTGACCCCATCTCCCCCGACTCCATTGGCTCCCTATCCTTCAGAGGATCCAGATCAATATCCTGGTCTTCACCTATAAAGCCCTCCATGGCCTCGCCCCATCCTACCTCTGCGACCTCCTAACCCCCTACCAACCCGCCCGCTCCCTCCGCTAAGCCGGCTCTGGCCTGCTCCATGTCCCCTGACCCACCATTGGCGGGAGAGCCTTCAGCCACTCTGCCCTCAACCTCTGGAATTCCATCCCCCAGTCACTCTGCCTCACCCCCTCCTTAGCCTCCTTCAAGTCCCGCCTCAAGACCCTCCTCTTTGACCATGCCGACCACCCCCTCCCCTCTCCCCCACTGACCTCAGCTTTTGTCTGAAATGCTGTACATTGTCCAATGCCTTGGGACGTCCTCCCGACGTGAAAGGCACTGTACAAATGCAATTTTGTTGTTGTAGTTGTATTGTGGTTGCTCTCTCTCTACCACACTGTGTACTGTGGTTGATCTCTCACACATACTGTATTTGTGTGTTGCTCTCATACACGGTTTGTGTGTTGGCTCTCTCACACTGTGTATGTATTGTGGTTGCTCTCACACTGAATCTGTGTGTTGTTCTCACACACAACAACAATAACTTGCATTTATATAGCACCCCTCACGCAGGGTAGAGTCCCAGAGCAAAACACAAACACACTGGGCGTGTGCATTGCTCTCTCTCGCACATATACAGTGTTTATGTGCTGCTCTCACACACTGTGTACTGTGGGTACCCTCACACGCACGCACTGTGTACTGTGGGTACCCTCTCACCCACCACTGTGTACTGTGGGTACCCTCTCACCCACGCACTGTGTACTGTGGGTACCCTCACACACACGTACTGTGGGTACCCTCTCACCCATGTACTGTGGGTACCCTCACACACACGCACTGTGTACTGTGGGAACTCTCTCACACACACACTCTGTGCACTGTGGGTACCCTCACACGCACGCGCTGTGTACTGTGGGGACCCTCACATTCACACACTGTGGGGACTCTCTCTCACACGCTGTGTACTGTGGGGACTCTCTCACACGCTGTGTACTGCGGGGCTCTCTCTCACACGCTGTGTACTGCGGGGACTCTCTCTCACACGCTGTGTACTGCGGGGACTCTCTCTCACGCTGTGTACTGCGGGGCTCTCTCTCACACGCTGTGTACTGCGGGACTCTCTCTCACACGCTGTGTACTGCGGGGACTCTCTCTCACACGCTGTGTACTGCGGGGACTCTCTCTCACACGCTGTGTACTGCGGGGACTCTCTCTCACACGCTGTGTACTGCGGGGACTCTCTCTCACACGCTGTGTACTGCGGGGACTCTCTCTCACACGCTGTGTACTGCGGGGACTCTCTCTCATGCTGTGTACTGCGGGGCTCTCTCTCACACGCTGTGTACTGCGGGACTCTCTCTCACACGCTGTGTACTGCGGGGACTCTCTCTCACACGCTGTGTACTGCGGGGACTCTCTCTCACACGCTGTGTACTGCGGGGACTCTCTCTCACACGCTGTGTACTGCGGGGACTCTCTCTCACACGCTGTGTACTGCGGGGACTCTCTCTCACACGCTGTGTACTGCGGGGACTCTCTCTCACACGCTGTGTACTGCGGGACTCTCTCTCACACGCTGTGTACTGCGGGGACTCTCTCTCACACGCTGTGTACTGCGGGGACTCTCTCTCACACGCTGTGTACTGCGGGGACTCTCTCTCACACGCTGTGTACTGCGGGGACTCTCTCTCACACGCTGTGTACTGCGGGGACTCTCTCTCACACGCTGTGTACTGCGGGGACTCTCTCTCACACGCTGTGTACTGCGGGGACTCTCTCTCACGCTGTGTACTGTGGGGACTCTCTCTCACGCTGTGTACTGCGGGGACTCTCTCTCACGCTGTGTACTGCGGGGACTCTCACATTCACGCTGTGTACTGCGGGGACTCTCTCTCACACGCTGTGTACTGCGGGGACTCTCTCTCACACGCTGTGTACTGCGGGGACTCTCTCTCACACGCTGTGTACTGCGGGGACTCTCTCTCACACGCTGTGTACTGCGGGGACTCTCTCTCACACGCTGTGTACTGCGGGGACTCTCTCTCACGCTGTGTACTGTGGGGACTCTCTCTCACGCTGTGTACTGCGGGGACTCTCTCTCACGCTGTGTACTGCGGGGACTCTCACATTCACGCACTGCGTACTGTGGGTATCCTCACATTCACACACTGTGGGGACTCTCTCTCACACACACACACTGTGGGGACTCTCTCTCACACACACACACACTGTGGGGACTCTCTCTCACACACACACTGTGGGGACTCTCTCTCACACACACACATTGTGGGGACTCTCTCTCACACACACACTGTGGGGACTCTCTCTCACACACACACTGTGGGGACTCTCTCTCACACACACTGTGGGGACTCTCTCTCTCACACACACACACTGTGGGGACTCTCTCTCACACACACACTGTGGGGACTCTCTCTCTCACACACACACTGACTCTCTCTCTCACACACACACTGTGGGGACTCTCTCTCTCACACACACACTGTGGGGACTCTCTCACACACACACACACTGTGGGGACTCTCTCTCACACACACACTGTGGGGACTCTCTCTCTCTCACACACACTGTGGGGACTCTCTCTCACACACTGTGGGGACTCTCTCTCACACACTGTGGGGACTCTCTCACACACACTGTGGGGACTCTCTCACACACACTGTGGGGACTCTCTCACACACACTGTGGGGACTCTCTCACACACACTGTGGGGACTCTCTCACACACACTGTGTACTGTGGGGACTCTCTCACACACTGTGTACTGTGGGTACTCTCACACACACTGTGTACTGTGGGTACGCTCACACACACTGTGTACTGTGGGTACTCTCACACACTGTGTACTGTGGGTACTCTCACACACACTGTGTACTGTGGGTACCCTCTCACACACTGTGTACTGTGGGTACCCTCTCACACACTGTGTACTGTGGGTACTCTCACACACTGTGTACTGTGGGTACCCTCTCACACACTGTGTACAGTGGGTACCCTCTCACACACTGTGTACAGTGGGTACCCTCTCACACACTGTGTACTGTGGGTACCCTCTCACACACTGTGTACTGTGGGTACTCTCACACACTGTGTACTGTGGGTACCCTCTCACACACTGTGTACAGTGGGTACTCTCACACACTGTGTACTGTGGGTACTCTCACACACTGTGTACTGTGGGTACCCTCTCACACACTGTGTACTGTGGGTACCCTCTCACACACTGTGTGCTGTGGGTACCCTCTCACACACTGTGTGCTGTGGGTACCCTCTCACACACTGTGTGCTGTGGGTACCCTCTCACACACTGTGTACTGTGGGTACCCTCTCACACACTGTGTACTGTGGGTACCCTCTCACACACTGTGTACTGTGGGTACCCTCTCACACACTGTGTGCTGTGGGTACCCTCTCACACACTGTGTACAGTGGGTACCCTCTCACACACTGTGTGCTGTGGGTACTCTCACACACTGTGTGCTGTGGGTACTCTCACACACTGTGTGCTGTGGGTACCCTCTCACACACTGTGTGCTGTGGGTACCCTCTCACACACTGTGTGCTGTGGGTACCCTCTCACACACTGTGTGCTGTGGGTACCCTCTCACACACTGTGTGCTGTGGGTACTCTCACACACTGTGTACTGTGGGTACCCTCTCACACACTGTGTGCTGTGGGTACCCTCTAACACACTGTGTGCTGTGGGTACCCTCTCACACACTGTGTACAGTGGGTACCCTCTCACACACTGTGTGCTGTGGGTACTCTCACACACTGTGTACTGTGGGTACCCTCTCACACTGTGTACTGTGGGTACCCTCTCACACACTGTGTGCTGTGGGTACCCTCTCACACACTGTGTGCTGTGGGTACCCTCTCACACACTGTGTGCTGTGGGTACCCTCTCACACACTGTGTGCTGTGGGTACCCTCTCACACACTGTGTACTGTGGGTACCCTCTCACACACTGTGTACTGTGGGTACCCTCTCACACACTGTGTACTGTGGGTACTCTCACACACACTGTGTACTGTGGGTACTCTCACACACTGTGTACTGTGGGTACCCTCTCACACACTGTGTGCTGTGGGTACTCTCACACACACTGTGTACTGTGGGTACCCTCTCACACACTGTGTACAGTGGGTACCCTCTCACACACTGTGTGCTGTGGGTACTCTCACACACACTGTGTACTGTGGGTACCCTCTCACACACTGTGTACTGTGGGTACCCTCTCACACACTGTGTACAGTGGGTACCCTCTCACACACTGTGTACTGTGGGTACCCTCTCACACACTGTGGGTACCCTCTCACACACTGTGGGTACCCTCTCACACACTGTGGGTACCCTCTCACACACTGTGTACAGTGGGTACCCTCTCACTGGCACACACTGAGCTGAGCGCTGTCACCCTTATTGTGTCTCATTGTCTCGCGGGGGGTAACGGTCGGCGCTCGAGCAGACAGGCGGCGGCGACAGTGCGCAGACTCCGCGCAATCACACCCCACACACACACACACACACACACGGAGATCAGAGAGAGGGCGCGGGTGCGCCAACAGCCAGAGCCCCCAACCCGGCCCAGCCCAGCCCAGCCCGGCCCAGCCCGGCCCGGCCACCCCCCGGGAGACAGCTGGTGAAGAAACCCACACCCACCTGCTCCTCCATGGGAACGCGCTGCGCCGCCCTCACTCCGTCTTTATAATCCCCGCTCCGGACTGGCTGACCCCCGGTCCGGCCCGGCCCGGCCGCCGTGTCCGGGAGCCGCTGGTGTATGTCGGTCGGTCGGTCGGTACCGCGGGCTCTGACGCTGCCTGGCCGGCCACCCGCCCGCCCGCCCGCTCGCTCCGGCGGCCAATCGCTCGCTCGGTGTCTTGGAGCCTTCGCGTTATTCTCCTGAGCGGAACTGAAGACGCAGCCGGACGGACCGCACAGAGCGTTCGTATCAACACCGGAAGTCAGCTTCACCGCTCGCGAGGGGGGGGGGGGCGGTGCGGCAGCAAATAGCGCCCCCTTCCTCTGTGTCTCTTTGTGTCCGTCCCGCTCGCACACGTACACCTTCCGCGCCTGCGCACCTCACCCGGCACCTGAGAGGGTGAGGAAGCGGGACTTCATCCGACAGCGTCCGTCTCTCTCTGCGCCTGCGCGCACTCGTCCACATCTGGGCAGTGTCCTCACTGCCAGCAGCCACAGCTGGTGCTCAGTGCAATGTCACGGACACATCAACAAGAGCCCCCCCCCCCCCCCACACACACACACACACTCACACACACACACACACACTCATTGTTTCTTTCTCAAACACAAGAAGATGCTTAAATATGGTTTGCAACACAAAGTGGAAATATTAAACTTCCTTAATATAACTTATACTATTGCAATACTTCACCTAATTCGGGGCTCATCACGTTATCCTCTGTACACCAACTTGGTTTAACACAGTTTTGTAATAGGAAGTCACTTTCAAATGTTTTACTAAAGTGGGAATAGTTCGCCCTCTTCTGGATAGAGGGCTTTGAAGCAGAGCTATGACTTTCGTCGGAATGATATATAAGGGAAACATTCCTACAAGTAAATAGATCAATACAGAATTTCTTGTTTTCATAGTTTTTTTTAAAAAAAATGATGTATATACATACCTTTTAGGTTTTATCATATAAACCTTATTTTAATCAAACAGAAAAGCAAATAATGCATTACAGTACAATCAAAAAAATCACAATATAGTTACCTAAAGCTTTATCTTATGGAGGTTGAATTACTCACTTGCGTATTTTAACCCCATTTAATATGAATGTAAAGCCTACAGAAATAATAATCTTTTAAAAAAAACAATAATAATTTGGTCACTCAATCCACGACTGTTTGTGGGACACTGCTGTGCACAATTGGCTGCCACGTTTCGCCCACAAATATACAGTCAATTCACTTTACAGTATATTCTGTGAAGAGCTTTGAGAATCTTGAAGACTTGATAAGGCGCTTTATCAAATGCAAGGATTCTTCTTATTATAAATGTTTCTTTCAAAAGTTCTAAATTCATACTTGTTTTGGTTTTCTCAGTAAATATATAACAAATTGGATACCTACAGAGGAACCTTTGGTTATAAACAAACTTGCTGATCAGGCTGAAGGTCCATTGTTGGTCAGCAGAGTTCAAGGCTGGATGAGATAAATGGTTGATGAAAACTGACATGAAAGGCGCTATATAAATATAAATTTGTGTGTAACTTTGTGTCTCTTTGACTGCAAACTGCTGTATAAATGCAGTTTGTTGTTTGATGTTGTTGAGGTACAGGTTCTAGGAACACGGTTTTACTGTGCAGTATTTTAGTGGTTGTGTCACTGGGGGTGGTTGGGGAGGGGAGAGATAAACTTATCACGCTATAGTGGGTGAAATGCGAGACAAAATAAAAGTTATTTTTCTACATGTGTTCTGTCATCCACTCAGCTAAGTCTCAGCTAACGTACACCAGAGCTCTCTTCCCTGAATAACGTGCACCGGAGCTCTCTTCCTTTGTCCCCATCTCTCCCTGAGATTGATAGATTTTTAAAAACTAAAGGGATTAAAGGATATGGGGATAGGGCAGGTAAATGGAATGAGGTTAGAAGATCAGCCACGATCTTATTAAATGGCGGGACAGGCTCGAAGGGCCTATTCCTGTTCCTATTTCTTATGTTCTTAAAGAAAGTTTTCCTTAATAGTTGATGGGATTGCCTTTCCCTCAATGTGGGTGAAAACAAATAGATCGACTGTGGGTAACACACATTAAGTTTACTAATCTTGATAAACTGTTATCTTATAAATAATTCCCCTACCCCCGGGTTTCGCCCACAAAATACAATTTATTCAGTTTACAGTATATTCTGTGAAGCACTTTGAGACGTCTCAATGACATGATAAGGCGCTGTATCAAATGCAAGGATTATTATTATATTATTCCCCACCCACTAGGGTTTAAACCCAAAGAAATCAGCAAGCTATTTACTGAGAATGAGTGCTGGAAGTGAAATTCTCACCAATTCATACAGAATTACGTGGAAGAACACATTTGGAAAGCATCCCAAAACACGGCAACATACTTTGATCTCGCTGAAAGTGATTTCACAACTGATGAGACAACTGATGTCACGGTTATTTACAAAAAGATCCAATAAATGATGTTCATTTCCATCTGCAAATATTTAACCTTGAACAGAAAGTGATGCCTGCATCTTCACAAAGCAAATAAACATGTAGGTAGTAAAGTTGTCACTGAAAACATTAGGCAGTTTGTACATTTTACTATTTTGGTATAAATTTATATTTCTGTGATTCTGTGTGATTCTACCCCCCCCCCCTCCCCCATCACTTCTTCTACTCTGCCAACTGTAGCCTACTTCATATATCTCTCCACCACCTCCCTCCTTTCAAAATCCATCTAAAGATTTATCTCTTTGACTGCACCTTTAGCCACATCCCACCTCCCTCTTCCCTGCTCAGATTGTCTCAGTCTGCCCTAAACTCCTTTACCCCCATCTCTCCCTCCTCCCGTTCCACAACAGCACCCATATGAAGCCCACCACCTGCTGCTTCAACCCCCTCCCCACTGTTGTGATCCCGCTTCATAAATAAAATTGTGAAGATATGTTAACCCTTGTAGTCGAAAACATGATCTGAATCAATGGTTAAAAATGCTTATGTTGAATAGACATCGTTTTGATTAATGGCTAAAAACGATGACGTGGACTAGAAAAATGTCAAGATGTGTTTATTACAGCTGAAGTTTGTTAAATATGTTTTTCATAACAAATTTATGTTTGTGTTAACAATGTTCTCTATAACAAATCAACTTTAATAACAATTCTACAGGTGTAGTAACAATTCCGCAGGTTACACTTTGTTGATGTTCTTTTATAACAATAATGATTCTGCAGGTGTATTAGTTTACGTGAGGTGATTGCTTCAGGGATATGATGATGGAAAGATTTTACATTCTCATCCTCACTGTGGAGAAAACAATTCAAAAGATATATGGTTGAACTATAATTTGCTCAGCTTAGGAGACAGCTTATCAGGTGCTATCCACACAAGAGCCAGCTTTCATGTGATGATATATAATAATAATATTCCTTGCATTTGATATAGCACTTTTCACGTCTTCTAGATGTCTCAAAGCGCTTCACAGAATATGCTGTAAAGTGAATTGACCGTATACTTCTGGGCGAAACGTGGCAGACAATTGCGCACAGCAGTGTTCCACAAGCAGTCATGCATTAATAATAAAAATAATCCTTGCATTTGATATAGCGCTTTTCACGTCGGGAGGACGTCCCAAAGCGCTTCACAGAACACACTGTAAAGTGAATTGACTCTATATTTGTGGGCGAACGCGGCAGCCAATTGCGCACAGCAATGTCCCACAAACAGTCGTGGATTGAAAATGACCAATTTATTATTGTTTTTTTTGTTTGTTTGGAGGGATTATTATTAGGCGTATGAATGGTTAAGCTTGGGAATATGAAGTGGTGAAGCAAATGTGTTGTCTTCGGGGTTGAAATCCGTCAGACTGAGACTGTTGCATCGTTTCATGAACTTTCGTTGACTCCAGCAATTTCAGGAAGAAGGAAAACTGCAGAAATTCCAGAATGTCTGAAATTGGTTGAAAATAATGGGAGCAGAATAACAACATATAACAACTGTCAAGTAAAGTACACAACTGGTCTTATTCTGCTCATTGCCCAGAACCCAACTCCACACAGCTTCTGGTCACTCAACTCACTGCCGACTGCTGGCTGATACAATCAACCAATCCCTCTCCTCAGGCTCTGTCCCACTCCACCTCAAAGTCACTGTCATCACTCCTCTCCGTAAAAATCCTACCCTTGATCCCTCCAAACTCACACACTTCAAACCCATCTCAAACCTGCCCTTCCAAAGTTTTGGAATGTGTGGTTGCAAATCAACTTCACTCACACCTCTCCCTCCACTCCCTACTCAAACCCCTCCAGTCCAGTTTTCGTCCTGTCCACAGCATAGAGACAGCGCTCATTAAAGTAACAAATGACATCCTCTCTCTCTGTGACCAGGGCTCCCTCTGCCTCCTTGTTCTCCTGGATCTCTCCACTGTGTTCGATACAGTCTCTCCCTCAGACTCTCCGAACCCATGCGCAACTTAGGTGTCAGGTTTGATCTCCAGCTTTCCTTTCTACCACACATCCATTCTCTGACCAGGATCACTTTTTTCCATCTCCGTCATATTGCTCAACCTCATCCATACCTCACAACAGCCACAGCTGAAACCCTCGTCCATACCTTTGTCATTTCATGGCTGGACTATTCCAATCCCCTCCTCGCTGGTTTCCCCAGCTCCACCATACACAAAATTCAATTAAACCAAAACTCTGCCACTTGGATACTCACCACGAAAATCTACACCCGCATCACAACAGTCCTTGCCAGGCTCCACTGGCTCCCATTCACAGAATGGATCGACTTCAAGATCCTCTCACTCTTTTTCAAATTCCTTCATGCCCTCGCACCTTCCTACCACTCTGATCTGCTTACCCCCACCCCACCACCCGCTGGGATGGCTCTGGCCTCCTGTTTGTCCCTCGTGCTCTCCATTCTACTATCAGTGGTCGTGCCTTCAGCCACTATGCCCTGAAACTCTGGAACTTTCTCCCTCAATCCCTCTGCCTTGCCCCCTCCCTCCCTCCCTCCCCACCTTCAAATCCCGCCTAAAGACCTT